TTCCTTATTTTTAAAGGCTGCATAGTATTCCATTGTGTATATATTACCACATTTTTTTTTTTAAAGATGACTGATAAGGGGATCTTAACCTTTGACTTGGTGTTGTCATCACCACGCTCTCCCAAGTGAGCCAACCAGCCATCCCCACATAGGGATCCAAACCCTTGGCCTTGGTGTTATCAGCACCACACTCTCCCGAGTGAGCCACGGGCCGGCCCTTAACCACATTTTTTTTTTTTTTTTTAAAGATGACCGGTAAGGGGATCTCAACCCTTGGCTTGGTGTTGTCAGCACCACGCTCAGCTAGTGAGCAAACCGGCCATCCCTATATAGGAGCCAAACCCGTGGCCTTGGTGTTATCAGCACCGCACTCTCCCAAGTGAGCCACGGGCTCATTTTTTTTTTAATATGTTCATTTGTTGATGGAAACTTAGGCTGATTCCATATCTTGGCTATTATTGTGAATAATGCTGCAATGAACATGAGAGTGAAGATATCTTTTCACTATGCTAATTTCATTTCCTTTGGGTACCCAGAGTGGGATTGCTGGGTCATATGGTAGTTCTATTTTCAGTTTTTTCAGAATACTCCATACTGTTTTATATAATGGCTGTACTAATTTACGTTACCATCAAGAGTGTACAAGTGTTTCCTTTTTTCCACATCCTTGTCAACACTTATTATCCTTCATCTTTTTGGTGTTAGCTATTCTAACAGTTGTGAAGTGATATTTCATTGTGTTTTTTTTTGTTTTTTTTTTCCCTTTTTGTCTTTTTTCGTGACCGGCAACGGGATCGCAACCCTCGGTGTTGCTCCCGCATCTCGCTCAGCCAGTGAGCGGCCGGTCTGTATGTGGGATCCGAACCCTCGGCGGGAGTGCCACCCCGCTTCCTAAGCGGGGCCCCCGTGACACGGGGCCCCCCCCCCCCCCCCCTTTTCTTTTTTTTTTTTTTTTTCCCCCTTTTTGTCTTTTTTCGTGACCGGCAACGGGATCGCAACCCTCGGTGTTGCTCCCGCATCTCGCTCAGCCAGTGAGCGGCCGGTCTGTATGTGGGATCCGAACCCTCGGCGGGAGTGCCACCCCGCTTCCTAAGCGGGGCCCCCGTGACACGGGGCCCCCCCCCCCCCCCCCTTTTCTTTTTTTTTTTTTTTTTCCCCCTTTTTGTCTTTTTTCGTGACCGGCAACGGGATCGCAACCCTCGGTGTTGCTCCCGCATCTCGCTCAGCCAGTGAGCGGCCGGTCTGTATGTGGGATCCGAACCCTCGGCGGGAGTGCCACCCCGCTTCCTAAGCGGGGCCCCCGTGACACGGGGCCCCCCCCCCCCCCCCCTTTTCTTTTTTTTTTTTTTTTTCCCCCTTTTTGTCTTTTTTCGTGACCGGCAACGGGATCGCAACCCTCGGTGTTGCTCCCGCATCTCGCTCAGCCAGTGAGCGGCCGGTCTGTATGTGGGATCCGAACCCTCGGCGGG